CACCATCAGGAGCAACAAGAAAGAGTACACTCACACTCGCAAACAAGCGACGCACTTTTCTCGTCGCCGATTTCTGCCTGTTGTGGTTTTTTTAAGGGTGTCGGATAAGACAGAATGTCAGATAAGCGAAGGTCGGTTAAACGAGACTCTACTGTGTGTGTGTGTATATGTATGTGTGTATGTATGTGTGTGTGTATGTATATGTATATGTATATGTATGTATGTATGTGCGTGTGTGTGTGTATGTGTATATATACATATATATATATACACATATATAAAATGTTAGACATGCCATACTGAGAATATGGAATAGATTACAATCCCAGGTTGTGCCTGAAAATACCGTTCACGTGGAAAAATGGTAGAAAATTCTGGATTTAAATGCATACACTGATTCAGAAGACTTTAAAGGTTAATATATAATTGAGGTCAGAGGTTTTTCTTTTGGGATTGATGGAGAGACAGTTGGAAAAAAGTTATGGAACTTTGTTTTTGTATCTGATAACTGCAGTGAGATTATTGCAAGCACAAAGATGGAAAGATTTGGCATTACCCACAATGGAGGAATGGTTGGTGAAGATGTTGGAACTTGCTGAGATGACTAAATTGACTTCTTTGATCAGAGAAAAGACAATATCTACATTTATTGCTGACTGCAAACCCCTTATAGACTTTTTGCATGAAACAGAAAAAAATGAACTTATGATTTATGGTTTTGAGAATTAGACAGGATAGCGTATAGAAAGAAGCAAATTAAGTTGTAACCACAGAGTAAGAGGTAAATTTATAATTGCACCTGTAACTGTTGTAAAGAAGATCAGAAGCTACTTCTTTGTATCTTTTTCCTTTCTTTTCTATTTTTCTTTTACTTTTTTCCCCTTTCTTGCACTTTTAGCTTTCTCTTTGATTTCTTTCTTTTTCTTTTTTTCTTAGTTTATATTAGTTCTTATCTTCCTTTTTAAAAACCTTTGATATAAATTATACACTGTATTAAAAAAGAATTTCAGGTTGGAATTTTGGAAGCAATAGTAATTCATGTTAGGCTCCTTCCGGTGATTTCAGTTTCCATCCACGTTTATCTGTAGGACTATTGGAATAAAGATGCAATTGGCAATGAAAAACAAAGAAAAAGAGACAGCCCCATTTTATCTGGAGCTTGGTACAGGCCCAAACTCTTGGAATAGCTGTTTTGCTCTCAGCTCATAACTTTTTGAGCTCAAAGCTTTGGTGCGCTTCTAACTAATTCTTAACTGTACATGTCTCTCCTTTCATAACCAAAAGGTTGAACTTGCTTCCCCTTTTGACAAGGAAGCCTTTACTCTTTTTCAGGGGGGAAAAATGGAAGGAATAATGTCTGTTAATACCTTGTGTCAGTTCCTTAACTGTTGCTGAGCAGGTTTAGCAGACAATTTAATTTCCTGAAAATAAGTAGCTGTTTATCTACTAGATCTATTTTGCAATATCATTGTAGTTGATGTATTGTCAACATAGTTATTCTAATGAACTTGGAAAAGGGGATTTTGGAAATTTAAAACAGTTATCCTACAGTGCTGATACAGGACAGTCTATCTGCACTGTACCCTCAATATATTCAAAGCAATACATTGTATACCTCCCACAACCATTTAATCACACTACTAATCCCTTTGTATCTGTGTATATATA